TTTTTCAAATTATTCAAAAAATCTGAATAGTTTATCCAGAAATTATGATTCGAGAGCTGCCGCATTTGGCCGCTAGGTGGTGTCTACTCTAAAATAGAGATGGCGCGAATATGTATCCTGAAATTGTTATATTTTTATCCACTTTTTCTTAATAATAATGACTTGCATTATTAACAGTTTTAAAAATATTGTTCTGCATTCAGTTTTTCTTATAAAAATAATAAAAAAATGTGTATTTTTTTTATTTCCGCTGTTTTCAAAATATTCAAAATTTAGGGATAATTTATCAAGAAAATCTGCTGTGATTGGCTTTTCCAAAAATTCTTGTTTTTTATTACGTTTTAATATTTACAGTGTAGTATTACATAAAAATAAAAACAATTCATCCCAGCTCTGCTGTCGTGTAAGAATAATGGGCGCATTTGGCTTTTTTCCTTTGTTTTCTTCATGGGTAGTGAGCGACCTATTTTATCCCCTTTTTCAATTGTTCAAATACAAAATTGATTTGGTTTTTTCTCAAAACTATTGTTAATTTTTTATTTTTTTACGTTTGTTTCCTCACTAAAAAATCGTTTGATCAGCAAAATTGTTTGTTCAGAAAAAATGTTTGTTCAGTAAAATGGTTTGTAAAATGAAATTGTTTGTTTGATATTTTTAAAATCTTTTCAAAAACTTAAATTTTTTTTTTAAAGGATAATTTTTTTATTTCTCTGAACAATCCATTGTTTATTATTTTCCTAAACAACACCATCATTCATAAAACATAAGTGTGTTCTCAAAAATTTTATTTGTTTAGGTACAAAATTTTACCACTTTGCAAGTAAAGAAGTTTACCTTCCAAAATATTATTTAGTTTAGCTCCTCTATCCCACCCTGTAACATACAAGCATAGATTAATTAAAACAACAGATAGATTACTAGATATCATCTTTTTAAGATTTCTGTGTGTTTCGTTCACAATAACCTTGAGGCAGAAGCCCAAAGAAGTTACATATAGGGTTGTTGATCGTTTTTGAAAATGATCGTTAAACAATCATTTTTTTTGTTTTTCAATTGTTTTTGAAAACAATTGTGTTTTTAACACGATTTGTGACAGGTTTTTACACGATTGTTTTTTTTAATAATGATTTCTTTTGAAAAAACGATTGTTTTAGAAAAAAAAAATTTATTGACAATTATGTTGATGATCCTTAACTACGACCCTTTGTTGACGTTAATGAAAAGACAAACTTTATAAAAAATGGTTGTTTATTGAATGTCGTCTCACATGAAGTTAAAAAGTTGTGGGGGAGCTAAAACTTCTTGATATTTTCTTAAAAACTATTCAATGATAAGTACAGATGCCCCTCAGGTCAGTTTCCTCTCTTTGTTAACGATCGTTAACGAAGGGTATCATTGTTAACGATCATTAACACAGAGTAGTTGTTAAGGCTTGTTAACAAAGAGTCGTTGTTAACGATTGTTAACAAATAGTTGTCAATAACAATTGTTAACAAAGAGTCATTGTTAATGATCGTTAACAAAGTGTTGTTAACTAAAGGCCGTTGTTAACGAAATGATGATTTTTATAAAAACGATCGTTTCCTTTTTGATTTTTTGTCGTTGTTCTCATAACAAAAGGACCGTTTTTATAAAAATCGTCATTTTGTTAACGACGGCCCTTCGTTAACAATCGTCAATTACAGATTATTCAATTAAATTAAAACATTAACATCCCTAGTTACATATAGTCTTTTGTCTCAAGATTATTGTGACCGAAACACACAGAAATCTTGAAAAGATTACATATAGGGTCCTACAGGGTGTCTTACAAAACATGACAGTTCATAAATAGTCTTGAGTGTCGTCTTCCAAACACTGTATTAGATATTAAAGGCTGTTTGCAGTTTATTTTGTTTAAAAAATTGTCTGCTCAAGTATATTTTACTTTTAAATTAAGTTTAGTATTATATGACTCCTTTATAATATTTTTAATATTGTCTTTAGTATTAAACAATTTAAAAAATTATGGAAGAAGACACTAAGAAACTATTTACCAACTGTCATTTTTTGTGGGACACCCTGTATCTGTTATTTTAATTAATTTATGCATACAATTGTAAAGAATGAGCATTCACTATATTTAAAGAAAATGTGATTCAACCCAACTTATTTTGTTTAATTACCTGGATGTATATTTATTCTTTTAACTGATCTTACAAGTCCAAACCCTGAAAAAATACAATTTTTTTTTAGAATTCTAATTGAGCTAAGGATGACGACATTCATATTTTACTTAATCTTTTAAATTGCAGTATACATTCAATGAACTTAAAAATTATAAATTAAAAGTCAGACAAAGTCTAACTGTAAGCCATACGAAAGTGAACTCTTATGTTTATATTTCATCATCGTTTTAAGTTAAAAATCTGCACCTTGTGATCTAATCTTTATTCATATCGCTGCATTTGGAAGCATATATGTTGGTAACATGAACACTTGTTGAAATATTCAATAGTAGGTCGGACATTATGGCATCTTTCTATACATATTCTTGTAGCATAGATTAAATGTCGTCTTTTTTAACTAGTTCTGATTAGGGTTTGGAAAATTCATGCATGGTGTCTAAAATATATAAGCCAAATTTAGAATAAAAAAGAATTGCATTGCTTAACAAGTATAAACAGTAAATTTCTTCTGTTTTGTAATAATTATTAAAATTTTCAAATGCAAATTTCTGTTCAGCACATTTAAGAAATTTCTTAAATAGATTTGATATAACAGGTTTACCAGGTTCTTGTCTGTTGGTAACACCAAAGTAGAGAGTTAATGCTCCTATCCCAACTCTGATAAAAGCATCTTCTTTACATAAATGTTTAAAAATAGGTGGAATGCGGCCCGAAAGACAAATAACTCTAATAATTTGTTTAAAATTCTAATTTTAATAACTTTATAATGGGCAGGACTGGGCCTTGTGAACAGAATCAGATTTTTGCATTCTGCAAATTTTCCCTTAACACATTATGGGAAATATTTCTTTAAGAAACTGGAAAAAATAAATAAATTGATTTTTCGACCATATATAGAATATTTGCTTGTCTGATTTCCAATGGTACCCTTTAAACCTTGATCTGAGTTACAATAAGGAATATATCTTTGTTTTCTATATTGAACAATGCCATATTCCGACGATTTTCTTTGGTGTTAGGTATTTTTCAAAAGGCCTTTTCCCAAGGGCGACTTCCCAAGTGACAATTTCCCAAGTGGCAACTTCCCAAATGTCAAATTCCCAGGCAGCAACTTCACGAAGGTTAGGTTAGACCATCTGAGGCGTTTTAGAAAACTAGGGAAAATGCTTTTGGGAAAGTACCTAACATTGCCTGTGAAGTATTCTTGAAACCACAATTGAAAAAAATATCAAGAAGAAAAACAAGCTCATTCATTTATAATTATACAAAGGTTTTAAAGGTACCATTGTTAATTGTACATGCCACTCTATAAAATAATTAAGGTCACTTGAAATCAGTCCTTTTTAGACTGAAAATAACAAACCACTTTTGGATATATGTGTATAAACAACGTAGGCCTGAAACTAAGAGCAAAAATAAGGTTTTTATTTTCAGGCCAAAATCTGAGTTTTTTTGGAAGCCTGAAAAAATCACCTTTTGACCCTTTACAAGCATAGATTAATTAAAACAACAGATAGATTACTAGATGTCATCTTTTTAAGATTTCTGTGTGTTTTGTTCACAATAACCTTGAGGCAGAAGCCCAAAGAAGTTACATATAGGGTTGTTGATCGTTTTTGAAAATGATCGTTAAACAATCATTTTTTGTTTTTCAATTGTTTTTGAAAACAATTGTGTTTTTAAAAAAGTTTCCTCTCTTTGTTAACAATCGTTAACAAAGGGTATCCTTGTTAACGATCATTAACAAAGAGTAGTCGTTAAGGATTGTTAACAAAGAGTTGTCGTTAACAATCGTTAACAAATAGTTGTCAATAACAATTGTTAACAAAGAGTCATTGTTAATGATTGTTAACAAAGTGTTGTTAACTAAAGGCCGTTGTTAACGAAATGATGATTTTTATAAAAACGATCATTTTGTTTTTGATTTTTTGTCGTCGTTCTCATAACAAAAGGACCGTTTTTATAACAATCGTCATTTTGTTAACGACAGCCCTTCATTGACAATTGTCAATTACAGATTATTCAATTAAATTAAAACATTAACATCCCTAGTTACATATAGACTTTTGACTCAAGATTATTGTGACCGAAACACACAGAAATCTTGAAAAGATTACATATAGGGTCCTACAGGGTGTCTTACAAAACATGACATTTCGTAAATAGTCTTGAGTGTCGTCTTCCAAACACTGTATTAGATATTAAAGGCTGTTTGCAGTTTATTTTGTTTAAAAAATTGTCTGCTCAAGTATATTAATATTTGCTTGTCTGATTTCCAATGGTACCCTTTAAACCTTAATCTGAGTTACAATAAGGAATATATCTTTGTTTTCTATATTGAACAATGCCAAATTCCGACGAATTTCTTTGGTGTTAGGTATTTTTCAAAAGGCCTTTTCCCAAGGGCGACTTCCCAAGTGACAATTTCCCAAGTGGCAACTTCCCAAATGTCAAATTCCCAGGCAGCAACTTCACGAAGTTTAGGTTAGACCATCTGAGGCGCCGTAGAAAACTAGGGAAAATGCTTTTGGGAAAGTACCTAACATCGCCTGTGAAGTATTATTGAAACCACAATTGAAAAAAATGTCAAGAAGAAAAACTAGCTCATTCATTTATAATTATACAAAGGTTTTAAAGGTACCATTGTTAATTGTACATGCCACTCTATAAAATAATTAAGGTCACTTGAAATCAGTCCTTTTTAGACTGAAAATAACCACTTTTGGATATATGTGTATAAACAACGTAGGCCGGAAACTAAGAGCAAAAATAAGGTTTTTATTTTCAGGCCAAAATCTGAGTTTTTTTGGAAGCCTGAAAAAATCACCTTTTGACCCTAATAATTTTTTTATTAACAAATTTCTAAGTTCAGCGGTTCTTTAAACATTTTTTTTATTTTTGCAATCTTCTCTAAATCACTTCCTATACAAACTGTTGGGTCTGAATTTCTGTTTTATAAATGTTAATTTTAGATCTGTACCCTACCCTTATCCTATGCCTTAAAAAAACGTGTTGCAGAAAAATTCCTTAAAATTACAATTCTTGGAAGTCAAGAAATTTTATGCTGATAAGGGGTTTTGGTATAAATTAAGATGCTTTTCCTACTACATTCTCGAGGACATTCAATGGTTTGGCAATCCTATAAAAAAAAAGATCAGAGCACATATTTGTATGTGTTTTCTTGTATTTTTATTTGTCTATTTTTTTGCGTCCAAAAAGAAACTGAATCGAACAAACCTTCATTTTTTTGGGAACCTCACATGAATTCAATTATGACATATAATTTGAAAAGATATATCTTTGCGTTTTGCGGAACAATAATCCAAAATGTTTTTTTTGGAACAATATTTTTGAAAAATGTTCTTGAACTTCCCAGTTCATGGAATAAAAAGTTTGTCCGGAAATGATCCAAAATTTGGGAATCCCAAAACTTTTTTGAACCATTTTCATACTGAAAACCAAAATTTCCATGGAAACCTTGTAAAACTGGCTAAAATTGATAAAAAAATGCAAACACAAAGTTAAATTGAATTTTTTTTTAAAATCAATTAATAAACAGGCAAATCTGGGAAATTTTGTATTGACTAAAAACCTTTAAAGTAAAGAAAAATTTAAAATTGAAAAAGGAAGAAAAGAAGGGGAGGGGTTGGTAAGGATGTGTTGTCTTTACCTAACTTTACCTTATTTTCTAAAAATCAACCTGATGCTAGAACTAACATTAGAAGAAAGCAAGAAAAAAGTGTTTTTTTCAAAACAGATACTTTTTAAAAGGATTGGAAAGGATGACTTACTGTACTTTTTTTAAATCGTCAATCTGTTGATAAAGATAAAGATATTAATTTTTGATGAAAAAGATTCAAAAGATTAAAAACAATCAATAAGAGGAAACTTTCCCAAAAGATATTTAAACTTATTAATGAATAGTTTTAACTTCCTTCTGTTTACATACTAAAATGGAAAAAACAATATATATAATGCTTTTGATTCCATCAAAAATGTCACCAACCAAAAATATCTTTTTATGTTATGGAACCAAAAGTGAATCACAAAGTGTGAGACTATAACTTAGAAAATAGAATATTTGCAAGTATGAAAATACTCTTACCTCAGCTGTTGCATTTGCAAACTCCTTGGGACATATTCCTCCTAACTCATCTACATTCTTCCAATAGCAGTGGGCAGCTGATAAAAAAGAGGTCTAATTATAAAGGAATTGAGTTTTTGCCAAAAACACTGACTTTCTAATCTCTATGATTTTGCAACCTAGCTTCAAACTATAAATAATGTTAGATCAGATAATTTTAAAATAAAAATGTTGTGGAAAATTGACACAAAAACATTTCTCATATTTTTTACTTTCCTACACACTTCCAACAAAAGTTGAAATTGCTTAAAGAGACTGTAAGGAAAATTTAAGTCGCTTTCCATGCCCTATTCACAACAAAATAATTAAAAGCTTTGTCTAATCAGTGTTTATTATTATAATATGTTTGAACTATATCTTCAAAATTATTAATTACATAAAGGTTTCAAGGGTGAAACGGGCTTTGACATTTTTCCATGGAGGGTCATTTAAAATTAAATTCCCTGTTAGATGTTCAAAATGTCCAATTCAATTTAGCTTTAAACATAGCACCATTTCTTTGTGTATAATATTAATAATCTATGTATGTAGACTGTAGAGTAGAGTGTTTAATCTTCCGCCAGAATGTTCACCAGGGGAAATTGTAATTTCTAGAAAAGATGAACTGGAAATTTCCACCGAAAGCCAGAAATTGCGGAGATTTTTTAGCTAGAGAAGTTTTTTGCCGGAAAAAATTTCCATTGAAAAAGTTCACGCGAAAATTTAAATTCAATTTTTTAAAAATTTTTTTCTTAGCTGAATTCAGTATTTAGAAAAGTTAAATAGTCTTTTTTAATTAAAAAGTTTTAAACTCATTATCTCCTGCCTCATAGTATAAATACTCTAACGTAAAAACTAATAAAATCGAAATGCAGAATTTACTACATGTTTTAGTCTTTACAAGCTAGGGTCATTCTAAGGTTCAGATTTAATAATACTGGAAAGAAGGGTTTCCATTTTTCCGGAAAAAAATTCCATTTTGGAAATGTAATGATCCAGAAATTTGTTGCTTAAACCGGAATTCCGGATCAAATGGAAACCGGAATGTTTACGGTTTACGGAATGGAAACCATAAAATTTCCAGTTTCCATTTCGTAAACCGGAAATTTTTCTGGTTTACATAACGTAAACCGTAAAATTTCCAGTTTCCATTTGGTACACTGGAAATTTTTTCGGTTTACATAACCTAAACTGTAAAATTTCCAGTTTCCAATTTGTAAACCAGAAATTTTAACACAAAATTAGACATAGAAAGCAATGTTCAAACATTAAGAGATAAAACTTATGTTGCCATACATTTAATACGGATTTAGTTCTACAATTACATATTCACAAATATTTCACTATAGTTCATCATGACTATTTTACAGTTTCAGTTTTCACTTTCCCCACAACATTATTTTATTTTTCAAGAGGGTCATCGGATAGGCTTATGCCACCCCCCCCTTCCCCTCCGTATTTGATCAGGATGGGATGAAATGGAGCATATAAATAAGAGTTTATAGAAACTAGGCTTTAAACTGGTGAATTAAAAAAATAATAAATTTCGACGTTTTTTCCCGCATAAATTTTTAACTAGTTTTAAACTTTCCCTTGAGCCATGTGAGTTGCCTCACAAATGTTGGGCTCGGTTGGTTAAGCTGTTTGGACGTTTATTGAATACAAACGGACAAACAAACAGATGAGCAAAGTATATAAATAGAGTGAGAACCAGAAAACTCTGGAATAGGAGGACAACTTTTAGACTTAAATTATGACTCTAAATAGGTCAATGAACATGAGACACGGCAATTACGTAGTATTATACTATACTGTATACAGACCAATTTAAAAGTGATTTTATAAGTTACTATTTAACCTATTTGCTTTGTAACAACATCAATTAGACTCAAGGATTGCTATACATGTCATCTTCCTTTCCACAATTTTCAGTGGATGAAATTATTTTGAGACATGGCAGTCAGGATTTATATTTTTCATGATAATTCACAGTAGTAATTACTTTAAATACAGCTACACCAAGCGCACATTCTATTATTCTGTAGATAGTATTACTTACTGGTTTTATCTTTTACATAAGTTTAAGATGTCTTCAACGTTTTCCGGAACCTTTTTCCGGAAATTTCCGGAAAAATTGTTCCCTAAATCGGAATTTTCCGGAACACTATTCCGTAATGTTCCATAATTCCAGAACAATGTCCCGGAAATTTCCGTCTTACGGAAAAAATTGTTCTGGAAATCATTTCGGAATTCCGGATTTCCAGAACCTTTTCCATAATGGAAATGGAAAAAATTTCCGGATCATTTCCGTATGTAAACCGTAACTCGGACTTCCGGTAGAAACCCTACCGGAAAGTATCCACCGGTAACATTCTACCAGAAGTTTCCAGCACCCTTTTCTTTCGGAAAAAATTTCAAAAATTGGGCAAATTTCCCGCAGAAACAAAATTTCCGGGGGATACTATAATGTAAGGAAAAATCTCTTTTTTTTTGGCTGTTTGGATGTCCGATCATAACTGAGGAATCACAGAACTTATTAGCCTGAAATTTTGATTGGGGAATTTGGGTAAATCTGAGAAATATGCTTAGTTTGAGTTAAAAAATTCTAATTTGAGTGGGTCGACTTTGTTAAGGAAAAAAGGTTTTAATGTGGAGGAAAAGTTCACCTGAAAGAACATGATGCTGAGTGACCAGTACTCCACCACACCACACAACTAATCCTTTAAAACCTGGTTGCACTGAAATATAGAAACAGAATAACTGAAGGGTTAAACATACAAAAACAATACACAGGTTAAACAGATATGAGGATCATGACAAGTGAGATCAATGAGGAATACAAAAATATAGTATTCCTTTGCCTTAGCTTTAGTAAAATCAACCCTTGTGTAAAGTCTCCCTGTCCCTCTTAATTTACTTACACATCAAGTAAAATTTGTCAGCTGTTGGGGCTGAAACTTAATACCTGGAGGTGCATTGATGTTGACAACAATTGTATTCCAAGGAGTGTGTTCTGCACAAGTGGATCCTCCTCCTGAAACCCTGAGATTAGGGTTTTCAGCGAAAAAAATGTTTTGCCAAAAAAATGCTAAAATTTTGCAAACTTTTTCGCAAAGTTTCGCATTTTTTTGCAACAATAAGTGAAGCGAAAACGAAAGCAAAATTTCACTAAAATGCGAAATGCAAAAATTTTGCAAAAATGCAAAAACATTTTCGCGAAATGCAAAAATTTTGTGAAAACCATGAGTTTTATAGCTGCAAAAATTAATTGCTCTAAAAACTTGTGGGATTTTCTGCTCTGATAGCTCAATATTTGAAGAAAAGCTATTTTTTAAAGTTTCAGAATTATTTTGGTTCTTTCCATAGTAGATTTTATTTTGTGTTTAAAGAAGAAAGATCTTAATGTTCGGGAAAGTATTTTCAAGCAAATTTATGAATTGTCTGATGTCTCCTATTCGTCTTAAATATCCTTTTATATTTTGGGCTCGCAGATAAATCCTTCCACAAAAATAGTCTTGTATTCTCAAAATTTAGGATTTTTTGAAGAATTTTCGCAACTTTTTTGCTAAAATTTTGCTTTTGTTTTTAAAACTTCTGTATTTTTTGCGAAATTTTTGTTTTTTTGCATAATTTCTATTTTTCCTGAAATTTACGGATTTTTTCGTCAAATTTTTGCATTATTTTTCGCTTTTTTTCGCCAAATGTTTGCATTATTTTTTGCAAATTTTTCACATTATTTTTTTCACAAAAGTTTCAAAAAACAGATTAAAGCAAAATTTTGTGAAAAAGCGAACATTTTTGCATTTTTCGTGAGCGAATGAAATGAAAAAATTATCACGAAAAAAAAAAAGTTTCGCCTAACAACTTTTCTTTTAGCTGGAAACCCTACCTGAAATCAATCTTAGAAGGACAAGAAGCCATTGGGACACCACATACTTCTAAACATTAACGATCATTCATAATTTTTTTCTGTTAAAATTGTATTGTGAGTAGGGTTTCCACCGGAATTCCAGGTTACGGTTTACGTACGGAAATGATCTGGAAATTTTTTCCATTTCCATTATGGAAAAGGTTCCGGAAATTTCCGGAACGTTCCGGAATATTGTTCCGGAAATTTTCCGGAAAATCGGAACAATTGGTACCAGAATTACATTAAAGTCTTACATATGCAGAATACATTAAAGTCTTACATATGTAAATACAACACCAGTTAGTGACACTAACAATATATGGATGGATGCCGGACGGTAGAAAAAGTTTTGGAAACTGTTTTAATGAAGTTTAAGGTTGAATAATTCACTAATGCAATGCCATACATTAAACAATTTAAAAAATATTGAAACAAAAACAATGGGATTCACCGGCTCAAAGCGCATCAATTGCTACCAATTTTTTGTGTTTAGAAGATATTTTTTTACAGGTGACTTTTTGGGGTTTCTGAGATGCTATGCTCAAAAATTCAAAAATATCAAAAATCGATCACACTTAGTGTAGCAGGGAAACAGCGTTTCAACTGAATATTTTACATAGTTAGCTTAAATCATGGGAATTAATCAAATTACTCTATAAAACATGTATATAAAACATCCATGTATCTTATATATTCTATCCTTGTATCTTCTTTATTCAATCCTTTATTCTTCTATATTCTTTCCTTATATCTTCTATATTCTTTCCTTGTATCTTCTATATTCTTTCCTTATATCTTCTATATTCTTTCCTTGTATCTTCTACATTCTTTCCTTGTATCTTCTATATTCTATCCAATTGTATCATCTACATTCTATCCTGAATTCTTCTATATTCTATCCTTTATTTTTCTATATTCTATGCTTGTATCTTCTATATTCAATCCTTATAACCTATATATACCATCCTTTTTTCTTTTGTATTCTTTCCTTGTATCTTCTATATTCTATCCTTGTAACTTCTATATTCTATCCTTGTATCTTCTATATTCTATCCTTGTATCTTCTATATTCTATCCTTGTATCTTCTATATTCTATCCTTTATTTTTCTATATTCTATCCTTGTATCTTCTATATTCAATCCTTGTATCCTATATATACCATCCCTTATTCTTTTGTATTCTTTCCTTGTATCTTCTATATTCTATCCTTTAAACTTCTATATTCTATCCTTGTAACTTCTATATTCTATCCTTGTATCTTCTATATTCAGTCCTTGTATCTTCTATATACTATCCTTTATTCTTCTATATTCTTTCCTTGTATCTTCTATATACTATCCTTGTATCTTCTATATTCAATCCTTGTATCTTCTATATTCTATCCTTGGATCTTCTATATTATATCCTTGTAACATCTATATTCTATCCTTGTTTCTTCTATATTCTATCCTTGTATCTTCTGTATTCTATCCTTGTATCTTCTATATTCTATCCTTGTATCTTCTATATTCTATCCTTGTGTCTTCTATATTCTATCCATGGATCTTCTATATTCTATCCTTGTATCTTCTATATACTATCCTTGTATCTTCTATATACTTTCCTTATATAATCTATATTCTATCCTTGTATAATCTATATTCTATCCTTGTATCTTCTTTTATTCTATCCTATCCTTGTATTTGTATCTAGTTTAATCTTGTATTTTGTCTATTCTATTCTTATTTCAATGTTACCTTTAACCTGCTGGGACTGGGCCAATGTAAAAGGCAGGTATAGCACCAACCAGAGTATAAGAAAATATCCCATTTTTTTCTTTTAAAAATATTCAATTCACTTTTTTATTAAACAAAAAAACTTAACTTACAAATATTTACCTTAAATTGGCGAATTCTTATTCCTTTTTTAATTACAAAAAAATGTTTTGCATTTTAAGTTAAAACAAGTAATGCTACAAATGATTTGAAAAAGAAGTATAAAAAGTGTTTGAAAAACAATATCCAAAGAAAAGAATGTTAACTTTCAAAAATGAAGAAATGGATACTCTTTATATATGGATACCGTTAATGTATGGATACTATTCATATATGGATATTGGTAATGTATGGATACTGTTAATGTATGGATAC